CAGCCGAATGTTATAATTTGAAGCTATATATTCAGGTAATTCATCATAAAGAATCATTCAGAAGTCAGATAATTATTTCTTTCTTCGACTGACGATGGACGTTAATTTGAAATTTGGAGCAATTTAATAGGTTCTTTGAAAGATTTATATACTGATATTCTATACACTTTCATGCTTATTTGTACAGAAAAGTTTTAATCTTTCCCAAGTTTTTTAATAAAAAATAAATAATTAAAGGCAAAATACAAATGAGAATCATGAGCTAACGCAAGCGAATCTTGAGTACAGTCGATCGTGTTTCGGACTACCGCAGGCAGAATAGCTTCGAAAATATGCGTATACTATACGAGTTGAAGCCGTTTGTACACCAAAAATAAAGGCGTATAATTTCGGAATGATTATATCATTAGTTCGTTAAAATATAAATGTCAAATTTTTGGAGATCATATTAGCTTATAAAATTATTTGCTGTTTTACATTTAAGTCAATAATCAAAAATTTTAGAAAAATATATACGAATTACTTATTTAATATCGTTCTTTAATTTTTCTTACATATAAAATTGAAGTAGCTGGTAAACATTTTTAAACTGTTATTTGCCTGATTTTGGTTAATATCTATCAATAATTTTAAGTCCCGATTTAAAAGATTTCTATTCAAAAATGTTACGAATGTATTATACTTAAGAATATTTTTTGATACACCCGCTATGAAAAGTGAAATTAATACTTTTTTTAAAGTCTTTAGTTGTTGATCATTTGAACAGCCGTGAATATTTCAACTATGAGTGTCCATTTATTTAACGCCTCATTACAAGAGAATTTTTCAAAACCAGAAAACGGTTGTTTATTTTTGGACTTGCGCTGGTCCGGAACTTAACAGCTGATTATTTTATACTCCAGTTCGTTATGAAGGTGGAAAATTCATGTCAAAATAGTTTCTAGAAAATTAACTTGATGAAATTAAACAAGCACATTATCAAAAATAATAAGCATTCAACCTTAATGGTGTGAAAAGGTTCTATCCATTCCTTTTCATAGAGAATATCAACATAAGGTTATGATATTTTATAGTTTTAAATCACTTCACAGTCTGAAACTTCAGATCACATCTACATCTCACATTCAGAATAATTTCTGTTTAATGTTAAAATAAGTCACTGAATTTAATTAATGTCCACATCTAAAAATCTTTGGATTTGGCAGCTTATTTAAGCCCAATTCAACCGTCAATCCAGTTATATAAATAGCTTTCTGTAAATAAGCCAATAAAAAAATAGAATCTGGATAAACCTTGACTCACAGTCTGAAGCTTGTTTCACGGTTAACCTTTTTTTTCGCTTAGCCATACTATGTAGTATCGAAGGAACTATTAAAGATATCTTCATTATTCTACGACCTGACATCATTTTTTTTTACGGATATATATACAAAGAATAAGTAAATACGCGTTTAAGAAAACATCCAGAGTCTTACAGCTTTAGAATTCTGAACTCTCGTTGTTGCCAATTAAAAAACGCATTATTTAATAATAAACAGCATTACTATTTATTAGCAGACGATTCGTTAAACGTTTTATTACGATTCGTATACACTTAAATTTAAATGTCATTATTTTTAAAACGCTGGTAACTAAATAATGCTGTTTAGCAATTTAGCGATAAATAAGGGGGTTTTTCCAACGTTTTGTGTCTTACCTTTATTTTTAAACATTATGTTCTTCGCACTTAAACCACATAAAATTCAGAAATATCACAAATTATTTAACAATAGCAAATCTGTAGAATTTCCGATAGATGGTCTCACGCGCTGGATATAAAAATGTTTTTTCCTCTGCAGTGTTGCCTTTGTTACGGTGGAGGACTATGTTATTCAAATTTGATGATTCTAGGTACCGTTGTTTTTTCATAGTGCGAGAAACACACATACATTCATGCAAATTCTTCATTATTTAATTTCTTTAAATATTATACAGGGCAATAATATTTGGTAGCAACAATTTAAAAACTGATGCGCTGTTTATAGTGAACCGACGCAAAATACCATTTCGAGACAAATAGCCCTTCTGAGATAGTGCTTCTTTGGGCTAATAATACTTAAAATCTAGTCTTAATTTTAAAATTTATATTCCATTAAAATAGCTATGATATTCAAGAACAATAATCTTTGACTTAAACTCCTTAAATTTTTTTCTCCTTTCTAGTTGTTTATTACTTAACTCAGAAACAGACTATATTTTTCACATTTCTCCTGACAGATGTCACGAGAACCTCTTTCTGGTGTTATATGATCTTCCTATGAACCTTTAAGTTTCATTTATTTAAGTTTTCGGCAGTGGTTATATTTTGACTTTATAGTTCTTTTTTTATTTCTTTTTATTGTTGTTTATATTCTCTGTTTTTATTTTTTTTTTTTTTTACATTTATTCATTTTTACAATCGTGAAATTGGTTTTGGATGAAATAACTATAAATGCTTATTTTTAGCTTAAATAGACAGATTTTAATCTTCAACTAACCACTTTAAATTGCTCGAAATTCACGCTTATTTTATTTTGCTTTTGCTTTATATTTTCACTTTCATTTCATAGGTACGTATATTGTGTGTGTATATATATTATGTAGATAGATAGATAGGTATATAAATATATATATATATATATACACACACACATATATATGGGGATGTAGGTGTACAATAAATATATATGTAAAGGTAAGGTTCTAGTTTTTATTGCTAATAAACGTTTTGCGTGGTATCGTAATAATAATAAATGATAATTAACTTAGAATACTAATATGTGACCAGAATCGCAGCCGGTTGATACAGTTCTTTTGTTTTCCACATAGCATTTTTGAAATAAATATGCACAGCTAAGCTTCGGCAAGATACAGGCTGATTTTTTACTGCCCGCTAATCTGAATGGCCCCAGAAAAATGACAGCAAAATTTCGTTTAATTACAATTTTAATGAATTCAAAGTGTTTGAGTTAAAATAACATGTAGAATAATGATTATTAGAGGAGTTAAAACAACAAGAATCAGCCAAATATTCTCAAGTCATTTAATGTGTCAATATATTAATTTACAGGACTAGTTTTGAAGTTTTAAATATAGAACCTCTTTCTACTTCAGCTGCAGAAATGCAAATGAAGTGCATTTTTAGTTCTGCACTTGAAGAAGAAAGGTTCTGTATTTAAATTACGCTGATTCTTGTTGTTTTATCGCCTCCAATTATCGAATTCAAACTAATTTTACTAAATATAATCCATTTATCAGAAAGAGAATTATTTCGGTTACTTCTAAAGATCTTATTTAAGATTTTTTTCACTGTTTTAGAAATTTTCTTTTCTTTTTTTTCAAGCAAATTTTTAAAAAAAAAACTTTATATTTTTCTTTGAAAAGTCGGATTTCGATTAAATCGAAAATTTTATATGACCATTTTTTAAAAAGAAAGCTGTCATGCTTATCATAGATGTCTTGCTTAATAACAAAATAAAATATTGAAATCAATTTTAATAAATTTTAGACAAGACATTTTATGGTAAGTTTTTGAGAAATTAGCTTAAGAAGGAACACTAGACTCTACAATTTCATAGCTTCAATTCCTTGTGGGTCATGTTTTGCTTTACTCTGAAGGACGCAATGAATATAAATCCCGCTGACTTCAGATTCAGATTCCTGCATATATGCGGGTTCCAGAATACGTTCTAACTATCCATTCTAGGCTTTGGAGGCTGCTGAGGTCGATAGCGGTGATCACTTTATAATGGAGGCATCTATTAGGTTGGCCACCGTTGCCTCCTATGACGGAACAGACAATTTAGATCCCTGCCTTCTACGGCACTCGAATCCAAATCCAATCCAAGTCCGGCACTTGAATCCAAATCCTTCAGTACTGCAGTCAGAGTCACTAACAACTTTCCTGTCTGGGGGCTAAATGAACAGTGTCTTACTACTAAATACTGATTCTTTAAAAGAAATGATTATCAAAAAACGTAAACAAAAAAAACACTTTTTATTAATTTTAATATTGCAAACAACGAAGGGAAAGGAAAAAAAAGAACAATAAATGCTTCTTTTGTAAAAAAGAAATTTTACACTTGTCTTTTATTTATTAATCGCAACCGAATTTAATTTAGTTCTAACTATATTATTCTAAAAAAATGGTTTCCAAACTGTATTTCTTTAGGGGTTCGTTTAGGACTCTATGCCACTTCTCTAGACTTCTTAGACGGATAGCTCTCGAGTCCTTTGCCGTCATTAAATATACTATGCCCTGAAGTTTGATGAACTTTGTTGTAGAACTTTTTTCCAGTAAAATCCTTAAGTTTTGAATATACTGTAGAAGCATGCATTAATAATGCATTTCAACAATCCGGATAACTATTCCAAGATTTTGAGAATCAGTAAAACTTCTCCAGAAAGAAAAACAATATTTACTATTCACCCCATTTTAGTTCAAGTGGCATTGCAGAGTCATTATTTTTTTTTAGCACGAAGATTTTGAAAAACCCATGAATGCATTTTCTAGGAACTGAGCCCAAGCTTCTAGTCAGACGTATTAACGAGTATATAATACAGATACATGAAAGGAATGTTTCTGCTTATTTTTAATTTCACCTAACTTGCATTACTTCCAGGCAGCCATGCCCAAACCACGAATCTACAGGCTTGCTGTTTTGAATTAAAGGAATTTAAAGACTTAGCTCGGGCTTAGTTTTAAAAGGGACTGGAATTTTCCCTTCTGCCCAATATTCTCACATATCTATTCCGCAGATTTTTCGGTTTTGGCATTGTTATCCCGTTATGTAAAGTAAAAAAAAAAAAAAAAAAAAAAAAAAAAAAAAACTGGAATTCTTCTAGCAGATAATGTATCTTTATCATAATTTATGATAAAATAATGCGAAATTGCTCTTATTTGTAAATAAAATTAGTTTTATTTCTTGACTGATATTCGATGAATTTCTTTTAATCTTAAACTTTGCGGCTATGCTCTTCAGGGCTATCGAACGTTGCCTTTGATTGCTCCGAAGCCAAAGACACGGCACGATATTCCAATGGGCTCCTACCTGCGACATGTGCACGATCCGAACTGGAAAGGAAGATCAACAGTACAGCCGTCCAAAGTAAGTATGATGTTTTTTTTTTTTTTTTTTTTTTTTGTGTGTGTGTGTGTATCTCAACAGTCAATCTAAGAATCTCATGAGATCTCTATGAAAGCTCTATGAAAAATCTTTCTGCTCAGGAAAATTACATCTGGCAATTGGATAAAGTCGCTGAATACTGAGAATTCGACCCGATTTCGAACCCCGATGAACAGACTAATTGTGTGGTTAATTTTCGCGGTTTTCCTATGCATAACGTAAACATGAGCAAGTTCTTTCTGTAAGTCCTCTACGAAGGCGTTTTCTCTTCTTAGTCTTCTTCTGCTTTGTCATATTCAAATAAACCAACCTCATTTAAGCTGTCAGATTATGGACAGCTAAACGTGTTATATGTCAGTTTACACATCAAAGTTAAAACTGACTTTAATACTTAAAAATCACTATTATCATTATAGTATTAGCTATAATTGTTAATCCATAAAGCCTGTTGATAGATCAATTCATAAACTAATAGATCTAGCTGACTAATAGATCTTGCTGAGATTAATGACCTTGCTGTTATAATTCTATTGCTTAAAACACTTTTTCAATCTTGAATTAAAAATTGAATATGCAGATAAGATTGCATTTAAAAAATTTTCATAACTTTTAATAATTTTTGACTTTTTAATTTTTTAACATTTTGAAATTTTGTATGATAAACTCTTCTTTGAAGTTTTAGATTATAAAGTGATGTTTCTAGATAGCAGTTCCTTTCGCTTTTTAGGCCAAAAAGGGTCTATCAATCTCGAAATGAGATTTTGAGTTGGTTCACTATAAACAGCGTATATTACTTCATTTGGACTCCGTAAAATCATTATATACTTTTAATTTTTTATGATAAATATTTAGGTGGCTGAATGAGCGAACTGCTAGTTTTTAAAGAATAATACAGCAAATATAAAAATATTTACAGAAACTTCTAACGCTCTATGTGGAATTCTAAAGATATGCTTTTTTTTATTAGCTTGTGATTTTGTGATTTTGCCACTAAATTTCGAAGAACATAATATTTAATAAGCAACCAAAATACATATAAATTAACATACAAAACATTAACAATAAAAAGTCAGCCATGTTACTAAGGGAATTGAGTATTAATATGATAAAAGTAAATGATTTAATTGATATTGATAGATTTAATTAAGAAAATCTGAAAAAAATTTTAAAATGTATGTCAACACTTAGTACTACATACGGAATTCTAAACATATACTATGCAGCTTTTAAAAATTTTGTCGTTTCTTTATTGAACTGTAAGCGTAAGAGCGAAGAAGATGATGTTTAATAATAAAGCTAGAAAAAAAAAAACAATGTGTCAGCAAGAGTGAGTGCCACAGCAGACTGGTAAACTGCGAACTCAGCAAGAGAGTGAAAACCTTAACAAGCCCTTTTGGCCACCGTTAAAATTTGAAAACTTTCAGATTTTCCTTTTTTTTCCCAAAGTAGTTGTACTTTTAATATTTCCGAAATTTTCAAATGGAATATATTCTTCGTATTTTTCTGCAATATTTTTTTTTTTTTTTTTTTTTTTAGAAATTTAAATTATCGTGAAGTGTTTCTATTTAAGTTACGATCTGGCAATGTCCGAGAAAATAACATTGTTGAACGCTGATAATTCGGTTCAGCTTTAAATCCCAACAAACGGAATATCACTCCCTGTAGGCAAGTGCCCAGGGAAGGATGGGGCTGTCAGGAATTCGACGAAACGGTGGGCTTGAGTAAGCCCTTATGATATCGATGGTTTAGAAGTGATATCGATGGTTTAGAAATGGCAGAGACATTAATCATAATTGTTTCCTTAAAAACTTTTTTAAATACTTGTCATTTACATAATTTGGTTGTAATTTATTGAATGAGCTTTTCTTCTAAACATCATTATTGTAAATTTTTTCATGACAAGAACATAAATGTGAAAAAGGAGCCAAGTTCGGGTGAAACAATGTTCGGTATAGTCGGTGTCACCGACAAAAGAGTTGATATGTAACGGATTTGGCAAGTTCCATAGCAGCGCCTTTAATCATAGCTCCTTTAATCATAGGAATGTACAACATTCTTCCGTTCATTTAAAAAACAATCTATTACTTTCTTTGTGACTTGATTTCTAACTTGGCAGTTTTAATCTCTACATATAATAAAAGAAAGAGTCTGTTTGTGTGTGCGTCAGTGTGTCTTTCGTTCGCGTTGCGCCTAAGCTAATAGACCCACAGCTACGAAATTTGGTACATAGTGCATCTAGACAAGAGCCAGTGCACCTCGAAGCGATTTTTTCGAAATTCGAATTGGAATTTTTTTTTTTTTAATTATTTTATGTTTTGTGACGAAATCGCGTCATTTTGAAACATAATGGGCTATAGGAAAGCAAGATTTTACTCTACACACTCCATTTTCACATCGTCATGAAACGTAGGCACTTAGCTGTTTTACGAACTTAAAATAAATTTCGTGTTTCAATAAATCGATTAAATACGAATTTATTTAACAAAGTGAGCTTAACACCTTTTCAACGGAATTTTTTGTAAAAAAGTTTATTTTTTAAAATGTACAGTTTATTTTTCTTTAATTTTTGGACACGTTAAACTTTCATCCTTGCGACTGCTTTTATAAAAAGAATTTTGGGAAAATGATAATATTTTGTATTTTTAAAAAAATTTTAAATGAAGCTTCCGAGTACACTTCTCACATCTCACATCTTTAAAAAGTGATTTGGGCAACAATTTTCTGTCTTATTGTTGTTGATAGATTTTTGATGAAATCGCATCATTTTCAATAGTTTCGTTCTTTTAGAAATATGGGTTTGGCAACAATGTTTCATCGTATTTCTTATGTCACTGTTTTTAATAGATTGGCATATTTCATTGTCATTTTTTATTCTATTTTTATTATTATTATTATTGTTATTATTATTATTATTATTATTATTATTATTATTTGGATAAAGTTGTTCTGCAGAGTAAAATTCTGCACGGAATTTTTCGTTGAGTTCCTTTCATGTTATTTTTTGTTTATTTCACTATTTGTAAGATACTGAAAAGTTTTGCAAGATTTTTTTTCTTCAACGGAAAGTTGGTTAATTTTTTTATTAGGATAATTAATATTTGTATTAAGAGATATAGCTTATTTCATTGTAATTTTTTTCTCTTGAAAATATAAGATAAAATATCATTAATTATACTTTGCTTTTCAGAATTTTTTGTTTTTTGTATTCTTTTATGTTATTTATTGCTCATTTCACTGTCTTTAAGACATTGACAAGTTTTGAGCGATATTTTAGGAAACAAAGTTCTTAACCTCCTTTATACCATTTGAGTTCTTAAAATCTTTTAAAGGGAAGTTGGTTAATTTATTTATTAGGATAATTAATATTTGTATTAACGGATATTGCTTATTTCATTGTAATTTTGTTATACGTAATAACTTTTTTTATGAAGTTGTTCTGCAGAGTAAAATTCTACGCAGTTTTTTAATTTAACGTTTGGTGTTCCCTTCAGCCATTTTTCCGGTACATTTAAAAGTCAGACGAAGGCTGGCAGCGAAGCTGCTAGTAAAAGATAAGAGAGCCAAACAAAAGATAAAATAGCAATATAAGGTCGAAATAGAGTATAGATATTTCCTAATGGCTAAGACGTGTCGCCAGATCAGGGATTTAGGAACCAAGCAGCTTAATTTTTATTTAAGACGACTATATGCAAAGCAGCCCGTTTTCCAGGATCTAGAAGAACGATTGGATTTATCAAAATTGGCAAATAATGATGGTGAATTCTAGATAGCCTTGCTTTATCGCGCCAAAATATCTGAAAAAATTCATGTTGAAACATTAATGGCAGAGTCATTTTCTGTAACAAATCACAAAATATAATGTGATAGACTTTCTGAAGAAAGAAAAACGATAAAATCGGTGAATTTCCTACAAATGCTGAAATAAAGAATGCTCTATGACTATTAGTGACATTTGTACTAAATTAGTTAAATTCTATTAGTATTTTGAAGCATATTTTTCTCATTGCTTAGTCTTATCATTCGGTTAAAATTATAGAACGGCGCCTACTGGTTAAGCATGTTAAGTTTAAAAATAACTATTTTGATGCTTTATGGCTTCGTGGTTTATCATTATCATTATTATTTTACATAAAATATCATTATAAATACTTTCTCTCACACACAACTTGATAATCAAACGAAATTTTGAAAAACGTTCCCTGTCTCCTTTTTTGCATTTGCATTTAATCTCCTTCCCATTTCCTACGCCATGTCTCGTCATAGCTTCGGAAAGAAGATTACTCACAAGAATACTTATTTAACTACAATGACACGCATCAGTGATGCATGGAGACGAGTCGACAGCAAAATGATCGCAAATTGCTTCAAACGGGATTGTACGAAGAGGATCCTTTGACTTTTAAAGAATTCGAATGCACTTTTTTTAATGCTTATCTTCTTCCGAATTGTGCCAGCTGATACGGTTGCCTGTCGATTTTGAAAATACTGGCGAAAGCATACATCAGTTCTCGGGAAATGAAGTAATTGGGGAATCAGTTTCTATAAATGTCAAGAAGAAGGAAAGATTACTCAGGTTTTTCTAAAGTTAAAGAAGAAATTGGCAACTTCCTGTACCAAAGCGTACGATGAGAATGGCAGCAATCGTATTAATCTGTTATTGTTGTTGAAGTAAAGGTATTAGTTTCAGGGCTTTAACTGGATTTGGTGGGAATCAGTAACAGCAATGCTGTTTTAAATCGGAATAATTATTGGTTGGTTAAATATGCGTGAAATAATTTCCAAACTCATTGATAATACTTTCCATGTTTTGTGAAGTATTGTTTTTGCCAATTTTAATTTTATGTAAAGATGCAGTAACGGGTTTTTTAATCTGTTCCATCTGCTGGCTAAGAAATGAAAAGTAATTGAAATGATGATATAAAAACAAAAATTTTCCAAGAATCAATACATTTAGGAAAAACCATTTTTTTTCTTAATATCTA